TTTATATCTTCTAATATTAATAATATTAGCAATACTTTTACTGTGATATTCTTTGTTTTCTTTGTTTTATCTTATCTTATCTTATTATACAGCATCAGCAACATGAGCCTCCTAAAGCTCTAAAAATAAAACGTCAATTATACATAAATGATTTCAAGGCTTTCATCTAACCAAACTACCTGCCAAAATGTTTATTAGGCAGTAGTTTGGTTGGTTGGCATGTTGCCCTGGAAGTAGATCCCTATGCTGTTAGCAACAATAGCTGATTCAAGGGGCTACTTTCTGATACTTTCCATATAATTAAGTTAACATAGCATGACCTGAATAAAATGACAGATTTCTGTCCTGCACCCTGCATCCACCCACTGCACAGACTCCCACAACAATTCTGCATATAAATCCAAGTGCCTGTCCTCAAGCTGAGGGATGGAAGTAGACGACACAGATGGCTTGGAGAGAACTGTTTTCAAAGGCCTGCTTCAACCTACGCAGCCAGTGCAAACATGGACCCTGTAGCCAAGTAGCCAAGCTTCCCAAGAATGTACCAGCAGTGTGTAGGTAAATAAAGTAAAGTATGACCTTCAACCAGTACTCATTACAGTGCAAACAGCCACCAACTGAGATAAAATCAAGAAACAAAAAGAAAGAAACAGCTGTAAGGTGTACACATTTGAGTGTCATTACAGTCGAGACAGACAACCTCATACTACCTAGAGCCAGGGTCTGTCCGAGGTTTCCTCCTCTGAAAAATAAGTTTTTCCTTGCCACCGTCACCAAGTGCTTGCTCATGGTTGGGTCTCTGTAAATAATTTTATAAGGAGTACAGTCTAGACTTGCTCTGTTTGAAAAGTGTCCTGAAATAACTTTTGTTATTATATTGGTGCTATACAAATAAAATTGAAATTGAAATTGAAATTGAAAACTACCACAAAAAGAGCTACAGAATTAAATAATTTAATCCCCATTCAAATTAGCTGTGGGTTAAACTGAAAGTTAGCTGGCTCAGCTAGGAAGAAGTTTAGTCTTCCCTCAGATTTAGAGTACCAACGTTGAAGTGCAATAGCAGTAAAAGCTCCTTTGTACCTTGTGCAATAACCCTGCTTATTTTGCACATGTAATTTTACATTTTTGCATCTTATTTGCATGTGTAATTTTAGCATCCAATTTTAGCATCCAGCAGATGATTCTTTTTGCATTGTTGTCGTATTATGGTTTACTGTAAATTGTATGTACAGGAATAATTTTTATGTTTTGGTAGTTTTTTTTATTTTACTCTTTTTTTATATTTGCGCCCCTGGCTGTAAATCAAGTTTCCCATCTGAGATAATAAAATGACTGATCTGAACTGAACTGAACTGTATCCAGTTCTCTTTATACATTAATAGAGCTAACTGGCTAAATTTGATAGCAGCAGTTAAGCTTGCTAGAATAAGAGAGGCAGGGGTTAGGTGATTTGCTGAAAGGTGAAAAGGGCGAGATAACACCACTATCATAAAAAGCGCCAATATGATATAAAAACCCTTTGAAACACTTTTGAAACTGAGCATTTTGATCTAAAAATGTAAAACTTTTACCCAATAAAAATGTAATTGTTAATTTATATAAATGTATAGGCCTACAATGTATTCATATGATTATTTCATAATGTTTATTTTATTAATTTAATATTGACTTTACTAGGGTTCCATATTTTTCCACTACTTGAAAAATATTAATTTACTGTATTGAAACATACTTCCTGAAGAAGAGGCCATTTGTAAGATGTAAAAAAGAAGAAAGAAAACCTATAGCCTGTGGATGTGTTAAACATTGAGGGCAGGTAACAGGACACTTCTCTGACACAACGTCTTTGAACACGTCTAGAAAGGCAGGACGCTGAGCAAAGGTCTTTCTATTTCAGAACAATGCAGAGCTAAACACAATTGCTGTACAGCAGATTCACCTGCTTAAAGCCACAGTTCATCTAAGACAATTATATACAGGAGACACAATGTTTTAACACATAACATCACTGCTGCAATGGTTGTGAGACACTCACATAAAGCAACGCAGCATTGCACAGGAGACAAAGTTGTGGTTTCTCAGTTCAGTGTCAAATTTGCTGAAGTAGTCCATGAGACTGACAATCTGTGAAAAAATCTAGTTCCTCTGGATCTATATGTTTATAGTGAAAGTTTCAGCAA